TCCAGGGGCGGCTACTGCAGGGGTGGCTGCTCCAGGGGCGGCTGCTGCAGTGGCGACTGCTCCTGGGGCGGCTGCTTCAGGGGCGGCTGCTCCAGGGGGCGGCTGCTGCAGGGGAGGCTGCTCCAGGGGCGGCTGCTGTAGTGGCGGCTGCTCCAGGGGCGGCTGCTGCAGGGGCGGCTGCTCCAGGGGCGGCTGCTGCAGTGGCGGCTGCTCCAGGGGCGGCTGCTGCAGGGGCGGCTGCTCCAGGGGCGGCTGCTCCAGGGGCGGCTGCTGCAGGGGCGGCTGCTCCAGGGGCGGCTGCTACAGGGGTGGCTGCTTCAGGGGCGGCTGCTGCAGTGGCGGCTGCTCCAGGGGCGGCTGCTTCAGGGGCGGCTGCTCCAGGGGCGGCTGCTGCAGTGGCGGCTGCTCCAGGGGCGGCTGCTCCAGGGGCGGCTGCTGTAGTGGCGGCTGCTCCAGGGCGCGGGTTAGGGCAGGGCGCCGCGGCGGGCAGGGGTGACGCCACGCGGGTCCCGCAGGGGCGTCGCGACGCACAGGAGCCGCGCCTCGCGGGTCCCGCAGGGGCGTCGCGACGAGGCAGGGGCGACGCGGCGGGGCCGCGACTGGCGACGGGGCGGGGCCGCGACTGGCGACGGGGCGAGGCCGCGACTGGCGACGGGGCGGGGCCGCGACTGGCGACGGGGCGGGGCCGCTACGGGCAGCGGGGCGGGGCCGCGAAGGGAGCCGCGAGGGAGCCGCGAGGGGGCCGCGAGGGGGCCGTGAAGGGGCCGCGAGGGGGCCGCGAAGGGGCCGTGAAGGGGCCGCGAAGGGGGCCGCGAAGGGGCCGCGAGGGGGCCGTGAAGGTGCCTCGAAGGGGCCGTGAAGGGACCGCGAAGGGGCGGTGAAGGGGCCGCGAAGGGGCCGTGAAGGGGCCGCGAAGGGGCCGCGAAGGGAGGCCGCGAAGGGGCCACGAGGGGCCTGAAGGGGCCGCGAAGGGCCGTGAGAGGGGCCGTGAGAGGCCGTGAGAGGGGCCGCTACGGGGCCTTAGGGGAGCGCGACGGACCACCAAGGGCAGGGGACGCGACGGGAGGGTAGGCACACGGGGCGCGACTCGGGCAGGGGCGAAGCGCGCTCCGGGCAGGAAAAAAAAATCGATATTTGGTGGGCCCTAGGAAACGTTCCCACTAGGGAACCTGCTCTATACCATGAGAAAGAACGAGGGATGAGTGAACTAGCAAGCAGGTGGGTACAAGTAGGAAAACCTAAAAGTGTTGTACCCCATATTGTCTACCCCACTACAGCCTACACAGACTATAGCATATGAGTTTGACACCACGTGTCATCGAGCCCCGTGATCCGCGCGAAGCTCTTTCTGGACCACACAGCAAGGAATGGCGCGAAGCAATGAACACAGAGATCAAGGCACTGGAGTCACGAGACACCTGGGTGCTAGTCGACCGCGCGGCGATCAAAGGCGCAAGAATCCTCTCGGGGAAGTGGGTCTTCCGCGTGAAAACCGCAGCGGACGGAACGATCGAACGCTTCAAGGCGCGTTGGGTGGTTCGCGGCTACGATCAGAGGCATGGCATCGACTTTGACCAGACGTTCGCCCCAGTCAGTCGCCATACCTCCGTTCGAATCCTGCTCGCCATTGCAGCTGCAAGGCACCTACCACTCCGCTAGATCGACGTGAAGAACGCGTTCCTGTACGCGTTAGTGGACGCCGTGATCTACGTGGAGCAGCCGCACACCTACGGCGGAGGGGACTCACGCGTATGCCAACTGCGCAAGTCACTCTACGGGATCAAACAGGCTCCGAGGCTGTGGCAGCAGTACCTGCACAACATTCTGCTTGAAATCGGATTCAAGCAGATGCCGCACGATCCAGGGATGTATCGCCGCGAATTCCGGGGGGAATACATTCTCCTCACGGTGTACGTCGACGACCTGCTTTACACAGGCTCAAACAACGAGCTTTTCGAGCAGTTCGAGAAGGCCTTGGCGGGGCGCGTCGACATCACGTGCAACTACGAGGTGAAGCAGTTTCTAGGCCTCAACATCTCCTACGCGCCTGAGGCCATTCATCTCTCAGCAGCTAAGTACGCAGAGGAGTTAGGGAAGCGGTTCAACATTTCACCTGCACCTCTCTCAACTCCCTACCGAACTCCTGGACCGAACCACAAACCCGACAACAAACCACTATCCCCTGCTGGGATTCAGACTTACCAGCAGCAGTTGGGATGCCTCCTCTTCGCCTCTGTCACCTGCAGGCCAGACCTCTCGTACATCGCCAGTCAGCTGGCGCAGTACTCACGCAAACCAACGGCTGAGAATCTTCTGGATCTGCAACGCGCCCTTCAGTTCTTCGTTTCAACGCCCAAGATTGGGCTGTGCTACTCAACTGCACCAACTCCATCCTTCAACCTCATCGGCTATGTGGACGCCGATCACGCAGCAGACCCCGATAATCGACGGTCCAGGACTGGCTTCCTGTTCCGACTCGAGCCAACGGGACCAATCTCCTGGAACTCGCAGAAGCAGGAGCTGGTTGCCCTGTCGTCAGCCGAAGCGGAATTCATCGCAGCAACCGCAGCAGTTCGCGAAGGCCTCTACTTGCAGGAACTCCTGCAAGAGGCGAAAATTCCAGCTTCGCCCACATTTCGCCTTCACTGCGATAACCAGAGCGCGATTCGCATCGCGAACAAACCTGGTTTCGTCAACCGGACCAAGCACATTGCGCTGCGGTACTTCTTCGTGAAGGATGAGGTAGACAAAGGCAAGGTCAACTTGACCTACTGCCCGACCGGTGACATGGCAGCAGACTTCCTCACGAAGCGACTACCACGCCAGCAGTATCAGCACTGCTCCGAACTCAGCGGCGTGGTCAAGCAGGTCAAGTCGAGCTGCGGCCAGGAGTGAAGGGGGGTGTTACGAATAGTAATACTTGAATATTACTGTGCACTCCTCACCGCAACAAAGAGAAGCACGCAGTATCGCGAATGAACGCGAAGCGTCAGACGGTTGGAAACGACTCGAAGCGTCAGACAGTTGGGACCAGGCCCTCAGATTGGTTTGGGGGTACACTGAGGCCTCAGGGCAGTTTTTAGGAAATCAGAATCTGCCCTGAATTGTCAGGGCTGCACAGGGTGAGGTATCCTGAAATGTCAGTGCTACATTTGAGAGTATCCTGGCAGCTCAGTGCTACATTTCGTACAATCCTGTATATTTCGCGCGTGTTATGTTAGCGGGGATCGAAATGCTCTCCACATTCGAAGTGTGTAATTCTGGGGTGCAGCTGCAAGTGGCTGGCAGTGCAAGTCGCTGGCAGCTGCATGGTGCGAAAGTGTTACAGCACAGTACAAGGAGATGGCGAAGGTGGCGGTGAACATCGTGGGCCAAATTGGATGGAAAAGCTGGCGCAAAACAATATTGTTATAGATTTTGTTGTTCGGCGAGTCGAACATGAAGTGTTGTAGTGGGTAAAGCGAAAGATTGCTACGCAGTAGGTTGCCTGCTCGATTCCAACTGACTCCATCATCCGAAGCGTTCGCCTTGTACACTTTTGGCCCCGAAACCCAGGAGATTTTTCGTACAGTACATCTCGCTTCAGGGCGAGATTCGACATTATCCTGAGTCGTCAGGGCTGAACCTACAGCGTTATCCTGAGTTTCTGTACGCAAAATAACCATTATACTGATTTTACAGGACAAGTAATTCCCTTATGCTGTTTTTTCAGGAGAAGCACACGACACCTATCCTGAATTCAGGAGAATCAGGATAAATTATCCTGATAACATAGGCCCTGATTGGGACGCATCTGAACCGTCGGAGCAGACAGCATCAGGCAGCTGCATGCAGGATGGCTTCGGCGGGAACAGTTTCGTAACTGTTCGCGCCGCACGGTTGGGAATGTATTTGAATAAGGGAATGTACCCCTTAGAGTACATGGCTAGCTAGGTCGTTTCATCTCCGCTGTACTCATATTTATATTTGCTGTATTTGCATGTTTTATTCATCTCAAGCATTTACATTCACTCTGCTATTGAGGTCAAGGGACCACCAACATCACTTCTCTGCGTGCGAACCTTCCTGAGTAGATCATAGGCCACGATCAACTTCTGATCGCAGCATAGGCAAGCAGAGATATATAAACTTTTGATTTGGACCAGGTTTGCCTGCGCGAAATTGCTGGCTCGCAATAGACCAGATTTGGACCAGGTTTGCCGTCTACATTCTAAATGGTATTTTCTGGGGATATTTCGGGTGCACACCCTAGGACACAGTCTGATCTGCTCACGAAATGATCCTTTTCCAAAAATCAGGGCGCGAAAGTTTCAAACACAACTGGCGAATCCCGCCAGTTTTGTGCAAGGCTCGGTTGGGGGATACTAAGAGCGTGTTCCTACGGCCTCATATCAGAAAACCTCATATCAAGAATGCTGTTTTTGCCTGGTAAAACTAGCGAGAGGTTTTGGGTTTAGGGGAATTTTCAGTGTGAGCCTGATACGAGGTTATCTTGATACGAGGATAGGAACACGCTCTAATTTCGTGAGGTTGGGGTTCCTTTCGCGATTTCGCCACAACTTGCAACCAATCGAGGTTGGGGAGGAGATTGGCGCGAAAATTGTAAGCCAATCCTGAGCAGGCCAATTTTTGGAGGGGGGGTTGGGTTGTCATAAAGCAGTAACTGCACCTCGCCACTCAAGGTTGGAGCGAAGCCCTGTGCTACCAGGTTTTCAAGTGATAAACTGAGTCCTCCCGCAGGAAGTATGAAGGCGATAGCTTTAAGCACCTTTGATCTGGCAGTAGCAATTTGTGTGAGTCACGTTTTTTATGGTGTCATGTCAAATGTACCGTAACTGTTGCTTTGATACTAAATGAGTGCTATAAGAATATGTGTTATAATCAACAAACAGGTTGTACAGGGTGGAAATACACAAAGAATAGTCGAATCTACCTGCGTCAATTCATGTGGGGGTGCAAGTATAGCAACCATGGCAAGCAACCCTCTCCGGCTTCAAACCTCAAAGCTTCAATGTCAGATCCACTGCACCAGCAGCCGCCCTTGCAACTCTCACTGCCTCCTGCAAGTCATTCTCCTCGTTCTCCTCCTTGCTATTCACTCTTCTTTGATTCTCCAAGGCATCCTGCTCTTCTGCCCTACCCCAACCACTCCCTATCCCTCCCCTCCGTAGCACCCAAGAATAAGCTCCCTTATTGCCATCGTGCCCACCAAGACCGCCTTGGCCTGTATTCTGCATGGCCTGCACACGATTTCCAAAAAGGAGCTCTTGCATACCAGCCACGTGTGGCAAACTGGTGGTTGCCATTCCCCCACCTGGGTGCTGCAGACATCCCAAACCTGCACCAGCGTACTGGTCTCTACTTCTTCCCATAGGAGCATCACCTGAAACTGACCGAAAAGGAGCAGCAGCAGCGGGAACAGAAGCAGCAGCAGATGTCAAGCCAGCAGTGCTGACAGCAACATCCGTGATCGCACCACCCCAGGAGCTTCCCGTTCCCCTTCCTCGCCCACTGTCTCCAAGCGGACGCACCAGCCTTGCAGGTGCTACCTTGCGTAGAAAGGTGTCAGAAGGAGGAGGAGGTGGTGGTGTGTACAGGGATGCGCACTGGCGGTTTGCTGCAGTCACACCTGTTTCACTGCCACCCGCAATACGGCCTCTAGTACCAGCAGTGGGACCGGCAGCAGCAGCAGCAGCAGGAGCAGCAACCGGAGCAGGAGCAGCAGGAGCAAGAGCAGCAGCGCGAGAGGCAGCACCAAGCCAAGCAGCATGGGGCGCAGTAGCTTCAGATGGACCAGCCAACTGGCTGTTCCAAGCCTTAAGCACGCGTTCCTCTTCCCACACACTCTCCCGCACTCCCACTCCCCCTCTGCCCCTAATCCCTGCCTCTCCCATCACCCGCGACCTAAGACCCTTGTCCACCCCCACCTCTGCTGTCCTCTCGTCCAAGAGTTTCCTCTGCGCATAGCCATCATCCCCTCCCACCCAGCAGCTCTCCATCTCCTGGACTACTCCACTAAAGCCCCACCGCTGCAGCGACCGCGGGGGTGCAGCCACCCGCTGCTGCTCTCCCTTTGCCGCGCCTGCGACAGGTGCAAGCGCCGAGGCGTCTCCCAGGAACGAAAGTACCCCTTGGGCGGGCAGGCTGTTCCTACGCTCACTCGCAGCGGCAGGCAGAGCAGAGGCAGCAGCAGGCGGAGCAGGAGGAGGAGGAGCAGCAGCAGCAGCAGCAGCAGGATTGTCAGTGGTGAGGCGGTTCACATGAGACTGAAGTGCGGCTCCAGCCACCGCTGCAGATCCACGGGTGATGGAAGCAGGCCTGGCACTGTTGAACCGAGCACCAGTCCACACGCGGTCCTGTGCTGCTGCCACGCCTTCCCACTCCTCCCACCCGGGTAAAGTAGCGCATCCCACACCGCCGTCTCGTTTCTCACACCGCTCCTCTGCCACTCCCCGCCTCTTGACCTCTCCCTCCGTTTCCTCTAACTCCTCCTCCCCCCCCCTCCTCCTCCTCCTCCTCCTCCTCCTCCTCCTCCTCACTCCACTCCTCTCTAACGTGCCCCCCCTCTTCCTCAGCTCCCCCCAGCCATCTTTCAGGCCTCGTCCCTCCTGTCTCCACCGCTCTCCCCACCCCTCCCAACGCATTACCACCAGCGTTGTCGCTGCTGTTCCATGCGTTCAGCCCAGCAGCAGCAGCAGCAGCAGCAGCAGCAGCAGCAGCAGGAGAGTTGTTGGCAGCAGTCCAGCTACGCAGCAACGCCTGCCTCATAAGTGCCGGGTGGATGGGAGGGTCATGGCTGGGAACAACACGATTCCAAGGAGACAAGCCCCTCACAGCAGCAGCAGAAGCAGCAGCAGAAGCAGCCGCGGAATCGAAAGCAGCAACCTGGCCACCCATTCCCCTTCCTACACGGTCATTCCTTTCCCACTCATTTCGCCTAGAACTCTCCCTCCTCCCACCCTCTCCCCTCCTCACTTCACCCGCATCATCCCACCTATCTTCTTGCCTCTCGCTCGCTTCCCCTCTCTGTATAAACCCCTTCCTTCCCTTCTCCAGCACCCCTTTCAGCCTCTCCTGCTGCCGATGAAGCGCAGCCATTGCTTCCGCTAGTCCTGCTCCTGATCCTCCCCTGCCTCCTCTCTGCCAATCAAAACTTCCCACCTGTCCATCTCGCACAATCTCATTAGCGTTCGCATTCGCATTCGCTGCTATGTTCGCAATTAAACCGGGATTTCCAAACACCCCTGCCCCACCCACACCTGCTCCCCCCCATGCCCCTGCTGCCGACGCAGCAGCAGCTGCTGCTGCCGCTGCTTTGAATACCTCACACCAAGCAGAAGACTGGTACGGCGCAGCGGAAACAGGCGCAGGCCAGGAGGAGAAAAGTGACGGGTGTTGCTGGAGAAGAGAAGGGGAGAGGAAAGGCAGGACTGGGTTGTGCTGCTGAAGTCCGTAGGTGCTAGCTGTTGCAGCAGCAGCTGCTGCTACAGCGGCAGCAGCAGTGGCAGACGAACCAAAGAAGGAGGGCGAGGCTGTGCTGTGAAAAATAGGGTGAGGAAAAGCAGGAGGAGCAGCCGGAAGAGCAGAAGCGGGAGGGGGAGCAGGAACATGAGCAGGAGGGGGCGGTGGCGGAGGAGGGGGAGGAGGAGGCGCGGGGCGACCGTTGACAGAGAGAGAGGCAGACACAGAAGCGGCTGCACTGCGTGCTGCTGGGAAGAACGACAGGGGAAAGGCCTTGGCTTCTGCTTCTGCTGCCTCTGCTGCCGCTGCTGCGATGGCAGCCGCAGCAATAGAGGCAGGAGCGACAGGATGGGGCGAGATGAATGGACAAGGAGTAGCAGCAACAGCACCAGCACCAGCAGCAGCAACAGCAGTGGCAGCAGCAGCACCAGCATCCAGGCCATAATCCCCAACACTCTCCACCTCTCTACTCCTCCTCTGCATCCGCCTCTCAGCTCCTCTCCACTGGTCCCCACTACGCCTCTCTCCCTGTTCTCTTGCCGCCTCATCATCCAATCCTTCCCTGGCTTCTCCAGTTTCCTTCCCCCCACAAACCCGCCTGCTCTTTCTCCTGTGCCTGGTCATCCCCTCCCCCTCATACCCCTTCATCCCACCATCACTCCCTTTCTCCCTTCCACTCGCCCCTTCTCTCTCCACCCCACTCTCTCTCCCCATCTTCCCGTCCCACTCCCTCCCAATCGTCCTCTCCCACTCCCTCTTTTCCTTCCTCCCCGCCTCCCTCTTCCCGTAACTCTCCTCCAACCTGTCCCTCTCCCTGCACCACTCCTTCTCCATCTCCCTCGCCCTCTCCCCGCTCCCTCTCCCTCCCTCCCTGACTCCCTCCCCCACTCGCCCCAGCACAGCAGGTCGGCGTTCATGCGCCTGTGCTTTCAACACCGTTTGGGGCGCCTCAAAAGTCGCTCGCGCCAGCACGGCAGGGCAGCATTCATCCGCCTGTTCTTGAAGAGCCTCTACAGGCAATGCAACGCGCGACCGCATCTGCAGTAACATCCAGTCCAGCGCAGGCACAGCACCTGACGACGGTTTTGGCGCTGCTGCTGCTGCTGCTGCTGCTGCTGCTGTTGTTGTTGCTGTCAGTGCTGCACGGCCCTCTCGTGCCTTGCCTGCTTTCGTCCCCCGTCTCGTTTTGCCTCCCCCTCTTGCTCCTCTTTTTGCTGCTGCTTCTCTCAATTCGCCACTTCCCCCCGAATCCACCTCCTCTTCCTCCTGCTGCTTTCCTTCCTCCTCCTCCTCCGCCTCCTCCTCCTCCGCCTCCTCCTCATCCTCCTTCTCCTCCTCCTCCCCATACTCTTCCTCCTCCTCGTCTTCCTCCTCTGCCATTCTCCTCCTGCTCACACCGCCAGTGCTACCCACGCCTAGCCGCTCTCTCTGCTCACCACAACTGCCTGAAGACCCACTCCGCACAGACCCTTGAACAGGCCGTAAGGCCCTCTCACCACCCGCTTTATATCCTCCCTTCACCCCCTGCTTCACCCCTTCGTTGTCCTCCTGACGAGCCTCGTTAGTTACCCTTCTTTGCCCTTTATCAACCCCCGCATGAGCTGCTTTCGCAGCTTTGTGCACATGAGCCAATGCAGGGACTCGAACTATGCTATTCCCGCCACCGCAACTCCCAGCCTCTGACTTGTCCGCACCCGCGCCACCACCGCCCACGCCACCAGCGCCAGCGCCACCAGCGTTTCTTGCCAGCACTGCGCCTGACTGGCGCCATGCTGGGAACAACGGAGGAGAGTGCACAGCAGCACAGGCAACAGCAACAGCAGCAGGCGCAGCATCAGCAACCCCTCTTTCCGTCACGCCCCCCTCCTCCCATTGCTCCTCTCCTCCCCTCTCGTCTTCCTCCTCCTCTTCCTCCCCCTCCTCCTTCTCGCTCTTCCACTCATCATCCTCCCCCTCACCTCCTCCTTCTGACTCATCCTCCTCCTCCCTCCCTCGTTGCCCATGCACCCCTCTCCTCTCTCTCCAACCGTCCCCCTCAGCCCCCACTGCCTCTCCTCTTGTTTCCGTCTCCCCACCTTCACCGGCTGCTGCTGCTGCTGCAGCTGTCGCTCCTCCAATCTCCGCTGCCGCTTCCGGTGCCGCTGTTGTTGCAGTTGCTGAAAACCTGGCCGCAGCAGCAGGTGCAGCCACATCTCCTCCTCCTCTTCCTCCTCCTCGTGCTGCTGCGGCTGCTGCTGCGGCTGCTGCTGCTGTTTCGTCAGGACCAGCAGGTGCGTCCTGCCTTGAACCACCGGCTGTGCCGTGCTGCCCTGAGGGGGGTTGCAGGCTTTGAGGCAGACTGGCATGCAGAGGCGGGAGTAACGGTGGGAACTGGTTTTTACATACATTGCTGGTGCCTGGTAACAGGAACTGACCGCGCAGTAACAACTGCGGCAACACCTGAGGCAACACCTGAGGCGGCACCAGGGGGAACATGTGCGGCAGCATCCACCCCTGACTGCCGCTGCCTGTGCTCATGCCTGCTGCAAGAGCGCCAGCAGCAGCAGCACCGTTGGTCGCAGCAGCACCGGAAGCCAGAACAGCATTCCTTCCGTACAAACCCAACAGCCCTGTTTGTCCCACCAAGCCCTTGGCAGCACAGGCTTGCATCTCAGCAGTCAGCGGAGCACAGGGAACGCCTAGCGCCACTGCGCCAGGCACACAGGCCATGCCCGCAAACACTTCCGCTCTCAACCCGGCAAAGGCGTCAGGAGCAGCAGTGAGCGGTGCTGCAGGGTGCGGAGGCGTGGGGGAGCAGACGGACTGGTTTTTCGTCAGTGCAGCAAACGGAAGGTGCATGTTGGCTGCTGCAGCGCTGGCGCCACCTGCAGTAGCGGCCGCAGCACCTGCAGCAGTGGCGGCGGCAGCAGAAGAAGCAACAGCAGCAGCAGCAGCAGCAGCAGCAGCAGCAGCAGCAGCAGTAGCAGCAGCAGCAGCAGCAGTAGCAGCAGTAGCAGCAGTAGCAGTAGCAGCAGCTGGAAACCTTGTGTTGGTAAAAACGCTGACTGGAGCAGCAGCGGGGGATGGGAAACAGGGGACCGCAGCATTGGAGTCTGAAAGGGAGCAGTCAGCAAACGACGACGCATAGCCCGCAATCGATGCACTCCCTGCCAAGCCCAAGCGAGCGGATAGAGCCCTTGCTGACGCTGATCCCAACGCGGCTGCTGCAGCGGCAGAGACAGCTGCTGCAGCTGCTTTCTCCCGCTGCTGCTGCTGCAGGAAGAGGCGTGACTGCTCTGCTCGGTCCTTTTTAGATGGTCGCCCTCTCTTGCGCTTCAGCGGCGTCAGCATCGCTCCGCAACCCCCTGCTGCTGATGCGGCCCCGCCTGCCCACTCCATCCCTCGCCCATCCGACACAGCGGTTGCTAGAGTTGCTGCTGCTTCAGCTGTGGACGGATCTGCTGTGGCTGTCGCTGATTTTGTCGCTCCACGCGACATTGCTAGGATCACAGAGGATGGCACAGGCACACCGAGAACCACAGGAGCGGGTAACGGCAACGGCACCACCCGTGGCGCCGCTCCTGCTCGTGTCGCTCCTGCTGTGGCGGGGATAAGGTTGGCTGCTGCTGCACCTACAGCTGCCGCTGCCCCAGTTGTAGCGGCATCAGCAGCAGTGGCGCCACTCGCAGTGGTGGCAGCGGAGGGACGGGAAATCCCAGCCGCAGGTAGCATTTGCTGCAAGGAATGGGCGTTTTTACCAGTGGTGGTGAGCAGACGAGAAGCTTTCACAGGAGAGTGTGCGGCGACGAAGGGTGCGGAGAGGATGGGCCAGCGGGAAGCGAAGGAGGAGGAGGGGAAGGGAGACGCAGCAGCAGGGAATGCCCCAGGTGCTATCATCCGCACTGCCGCGGCCCCAGAAGCTGCTGCGCTGCCAGTACCAGGTGCAGCAGTGACGGCGGCGGCGGCGACGGCGGCGGCCGCGGCGGCTGAGTCTCCACCAGCACGCTCTTGACCGGCGACATCAGGAGCGCCGCCGCGATCACCGCCGCGATCACCGCCGCGATCACCGCCGCGATCACCGCCGCAGTCATCGGACGGACGGTGGCGCTTCTTGGGTGGCTCATCCAGATCCGGATCTGAACCCGCCGACGTGCGCGCTGCGCCAGGCCGGCTTGCTAGTGATCCTGACAACCGGTGGAGCTGCCGGCGGTTCTGATCGCAAGAGGTACTGCTGCTCTTATTGGCCGTGGTGGTGGTGGTGGTGGTGGTGGTGGTGGTGGTGGTGGTGGTGGTGGTGGTGGTGGTGGTATTGGTATTGGTATTGTCCCGCGCGACCTGCGTTCCGTCGTCGCCGGGGGAGCACGCAGGGGAGCGGCGGGAGGGGTTGGCCGTGGGATGCGGCGTGGAAGCATTGACGGCTGCCGCGTCGCTGTCGCCGCGTCGAGAGCCGGCGTCACCGCCGTGACGGACGGCGTATCCACGATGGCCGGGCCGTTCCTGAGGCCGTTCCTGTCGCCGTCGCGGCTCCGAGTCGGTGCGCCGGGTTCTCCCAACAGCGCCGCACCGGGCATCGCGAGTTATTTTTTCGCGTTCCGCGGAAACCAATGTACTTTCAGGCGCTTCGAATCTGTCGAGTGGTACCGCCACCATTCGACTACGGCGATCTGAATTCCCCGGCGGTGTCGTCGCAGCCTCTTCGTTCTCGCCGGATCTATCGCCCGCCATTGCAACCCGACGTACCGCCGTTGTCGCCGTCGTCGCACGTGCGACATTGCCGGCGGAACCGCAAGAAGCAGGATCCGTCGCAGCCGCAGTGGTAACATCAATCACAGGGACGCTTCGCGGGGTACTGCGAGAGCCGCCGTTGCCGCTTCGAGTACTAGAAGAGCCGCTCAAACGGGCTAATGTTAAAGGGGACAGAACATCGACAGGACTGTCAGCCGCGACATCGTTCTGATTCTCTTGAGACACTATCATCATGCGAGCCGCGCGGTGCTCTCCTGACGCAGCGCGCGAGCCGGATTCTCTTAATGTCTGAGCACGATACTCCAGCTGCTGTCGTTGCTGCATCTGACGCTCTTTCGCATCCCGGCAATGCTGCTGCGGCTGCGGCTGCGGCTGCTGGCGCTGCCGTATAGTAGTACTACGTTCGGGCTGCTGCTCCGTCATCTTTAATGCTCGTGTTCAACTGCCCTTGACTCACGGTCCGACCTTGCTTCTTTTCGCTACGCGAAGATAACTCGTCTTGGTGAATACTAATCAGAATTCGCCGTGCGTTTTGCTGTTACCACCAGAGATTCTTTGGGAAAGGGAAAGGAAATGGGTTGTGGGATGCGAACTTGTTCTCAAAGCCGCTTTCCTAGCAGCTAATCTCAAGGTCGGAACCAATCGGTCATAAACATTGAGGTGGCTTGGTGGTTTCATTTGGCGTGTCTGGGCTGGGTACAGTACAATGTTCTTCCAACAAGCTTCCAACGATTGCTCGTTGTGCCACTATCACCCTATGGCGACTGGAGTTTTTTAGAAGACGAACCAAGGAGCAGATATTTGGTTCCTGAATCCTGATTCACGTGAAGCCTGAGTCCCATGACACCTGGGTTCTCCCATTCGATTCTTGTTCCCTTTGTTGCCTCTATGCCTCTAGAAATCTCGTCCGTGCTCTCATTTTTTTGTAGCTGTTGTTGCTCCTCCAAGCTGAGCCATCTTACGGCGGGCGTACATACGTATACATGGGCAGACAGGTGGGACCCCACCGCCTTTCGTGCGTGGGAGACCACAACGCAGATACTCATCACCACCCGCTTCCTGTTAGCATATCCGCGTTGCACAGCATCATTTCCTGCTCGCACGTGAGCTCGAGCTTCAACTAGACGAAACAAAACAGAGTGGATGGAGGAGACAACTAATTTCGGAGGGAAAGTGTTCACACACGACCGATGCAGATGAACGAGAAAATATAACGGGTATTGTTTTCTTTACTGGAATAAAAGGGGCAGATATTCTAGGTGCACACCGGGTGCTTTTGGGGTTGGTGGTGGCGGGTCTTTTTGGATGGATGTGTGACGTAAGGTGAGGACCCCCAGCTGGACCTAAGGACGTGTCACGGTTTGCTTCTGATCGCCCCGATCAGAGCCTTTCAATCACTTCCAGGAAGCTAGTGCAACGATTTCGGGCAATCGGGGGCAATCACCTGATCGCGATCAGTTGATCGCCCCAAGTCGATCAACCGCCTAAAACAGCCGATTCAAACACAACCCCACACAATCACCGACAATCAGTTGATTGCATTGGGTTGGGGTACCTAGCGACGCCAGCGAACAGTTACAGAGTTGTAGAGGGCTTCGTGAAGCCCTCGCACAACCAATACCCTGGCAAGAACTTTCTGGACGCCTCTTGATGCGAGATTACAGGGCAACATTGAACTTCGCTAGTTCCAGGCTGAGGTCTTCGCCCTCGCCAAAGTGGGCACGAAGTTGGAAGGAAAGGGTGACACGCATGCCAGGCAAACACCTGGAATACTCGACGAATTTCTTGTCTGATCGGGCGGCGCGAGCACTGTAAGCAGGGGCGCCCCGACCTGATCAGCCCCGACCAGATCACAGCCGATCAGAGGCAAACCGTGACACGTCCTAAACATAGCCCCATACCCGTGGTACCCTACACGTTTTTTCAGCTTACATGTGTGATGTCTCGGCATCACGCCCTGTGAGACTCCCTACACGTTTTTCCAGCTTGATCGATCAGGCACCCAGAAGCTAGGGGCTATCAACATGTTTTTGTTGCGACTCTGATTGTGTCCCTTGCTCGTATAGCATTTTAAGACAATACCTTCTTGATTATTAGAATCGTACGAAACAATCTTCGTTTTAAGTGAAACTAATAAAAGTTGCCCTTGGGTGTGAAAACAACGAAAACAACGTTTTGTACAACAGTGCCTACAGAAATGGTCAGGGTTCTCAAGGGTCAACCTTCTCAACTGCGTGCGCCCCGCCAACCAGCACACAGACGACATGTGGGAAAAATCATTAAACGTTGCCGCCTGCCTGCCCCGTCGCTCGCTGGATGGTTCTGTTTCGGTCAGAATGCTCTACTGTAGACAATGGCTGGCAAAGACGCAGCAGGAGATGGTGGGTGCAATGTCTGCACTGAAGCCGATGTCTTTTTATTCCTTTAGACATGCCCAGAATCATCCGAGGTACATAGCACACCTAGGATTCCAGGAGCGTCGGTGCTCGATTGCTCTGGGCATGTCGATTTCTGTTCAGGATCAGTGGTGAACGAATATTTTGCCCTACATAAAATATATTACTGTAGAGCTTCCCACACCACACCAGCAGTTTTTGTGCCCTTCCAGCAACATTCGACAGTATGATGTCGCCGTACTTCTAGAAGAAGCCGCTTTGCAAGAAATGACAAGGTCTCACATCAGTTTTCTGAATCAAGGCACCGCTCTCAAATCTGATTCTACAAAGCATGAACACGGTCCACGTTGAACGTTTCCACGTGACGAGATGCTCCCGTCACGTTGCTCACGTGAATTTCACGCCGCCACGTCCAGTTGAACTCACGGACCGCGTTATATTTGCCGAAATTCTCGAGGCTTGAGACCAAGGCTCCTCCTCGGCCGCTTGCTGTAAAAGATTTGAAGGTGGTGGTTGCAAGGGGGACAGATGCGCGAAATGCTTCCACGAATCAATTTCTGTTTTTGACAGGCATGCAGTGCCTACATTTCCTATACTCGACTTAGCTTCATTCACGGAAGAGCACTGATTCTATTTGTTCGCAATGAAACTCTAAGCACATCGAGTGCCTATACATAAATACGAACGAGTCTTGTTGTTTGCTGTTCCAACTGCATAATGCAAATAGACCATGTCCTTACCAATAACTGGAGTTTACTTACTATATTAGAGAGAAACGATAAGATGATAGTTTATAGATGCCCCTAGTCTTCTCTAGTTGATGGATGGAAACATACCATGTGATTTATCTCTGCCATCCAACAACACGTACTCGACCCCATAATTTCATCTAACAAGTGCCGATGCAAGCAAAAAACACTTGCTTGCTGTTCCAATCAAAGCCACGAAGACATTTTTGCAATTTGTGTCACCAGCGATGCTGCTGTGCCAATCCACATCAGCAACCATCTGGAGGCTCTGCATTACAGCGTTTTCTGGTAGCGAAACTTATCGTATCGAGCTTTGATATACCTAACCTCGAGCTGCTGATAGAGCCTCCGATCAGTAGCCTTCAAAAGCCTCAGGTGGCATAAGCGCACTCGTCACTTTGCCAAAATCAGACATCAGGCCTGAGACAACGAAAGGGAAGGCCAATTGAACACACATGGGAAAAAAGAGAGGGGAAAACCGAGGGAACGAGAGGAATTCATCCAAGCAGGTACTCACAGCACAGGACTACTAGAAACAACGCGCAAGATTAAAAAATTATGGGCCTCTTGCAGTAGTTCTAAACAGCTCAATGCTCGGCCCGATACTGCAGCGGATCCTCTTACAGTGGAACCGGCGGCGGGGATGTGGCGGTTGGCGTGTGGCCGCTGCGACAAAGAGCTCAATATGCCGGGGAGAGAGTTCGGCGCGGCGGCAGGGCGAGGCGGGGCCGGAGAGAGTAGCGACGATGGCCGCCTCACACTCGCGGGGATGCGTGCAGCAGAGTGCATTGAGCACATCTGCTAAGGCTGCCTCTGCCTCGTGCCCCACTGCCCCCTTGGCTACCGCTGATAGCACCTCCTGGGAGAGGGGATGGGGAGGCGAGGAGCGGAGGGTGGGAAGGTGTGTGGGTTGAGGGGGGAGTGGGGAGGGAGGAGGAGGCGGGTGCAGGGACAGAAGGGAGAGGTGGTTGGAGGAAAACTGTGAAGCAGTATGTGGGGAAATGGGTGCGAAGGATGGGAAGTAGTTGGGTTGGGGGTTCAAGGGTGCAGAGGGGTGGGTTTCGGGGACGGCAGAGGAGACATAGTTTTCTCAAAAGCAGCAGCAGCATACCTTTCGAGAACTGCAGCAGTGGTAGCAGAATACCCTTTGAGAAAAAAAAAACACAAGCAGCAAAAGCGTACCTGCACAATGGCTCCTCCTAGCTGCCGGCTCATGTCATCCACTGCGCCTCTGAGCCCAGGCGGCACGACCCATGAGCCTGGCAGCGTGGCAGCGAGGGCGAGCGCTTCAGGAGCCATCTGGCGCACGTGCAGCAGCGACTGCCCCACTATCGTCTCCGCTAGGAACGCTGCTGCTGCCTCCACTGCCTCTGAATCCGCCCACGATATGCATGCTGCAGGGGGGTTAGAAGAGGGGAATTAGCCAGCAATATGGAAGGGTTAGTTGAAAAAACTGGCTCTTGGTATAGTTATCAAGGAAAGAACCTCGCTTGGGTTAAGATCTAATAATATAAGGAGGGTAGAGTACGGTTGGTGGGAGGAGGGAGATGAGAATTACGGTGCTGCTGCTTGATGCCACGTCCATTGCCCACGAGAGTGATCGTAACCAGGGTTGAGAGAGAAAGGGTTGCATGGACGAGGGAGAATGGATGGGCGAGGCAGCAGGCAGGATGGAAGACGGAGATGGCCAATGCACAGCAAACATGTAAATGCAGAGCAAGAAGACGGAGATGGCCAATGCAGGCAAGGATGTACTTATTCTGAGAGTTCTCAAGAACGGCGCAAGCATGAGCAAGAGGAGAGTGGAGTGGAGCGAGGGGAAGCGGCGCGAGCAGCGGAGCGAGAAGGAAGCGTGCGCGTGCGTGCGAGCTAGCACGCACCGACAGCGCTCTGGCAGAGCACGAGGAACGTGGGGGAGGGCAGCAGCAGCTCGGGCGCATGCGCCACAAACGCCCGCGCCACATCCCACAACGCCTGCAGCGTCTCCAGTGCACGCGCATCCTGCTCCTGCTGGGACAACCGCCCCTGCCCTTGCCCTTGCCCTTGCTGCCCCTGCCCCTGCTGCCCTTCTGGTCTGGAATGTCTGTGCAAGGACTTGGTGCCTTTATCTGTGCGGGTGATGGTTTCTTGGAGAACGGTCAGAGCTGCAGCGAGCTTGTCGGGAATGGCCGCCAGGCTGGCTTGCACCTCGGGTGATGCCCGTGCTCCCACCCGTGGCATGGACACAATCTGATGGGTATACCGTGGGGAGGGGGAGGTGGTGGGGGTTGAAAGTGGA